ATATATTGTAAAAAAATGGGTTAATTTTTATATAAATTTGTACAAAGAATTATACGTATAATATTGTTAATTATATTGTATAAATTTTGAGAAATTTAACTATTTGTGCAATATTGAATACCCTGAAAATTTTGGGATGATATATATATATACAGTCCCCTCCCAAAAGTATCCGCCCAATAAAAAAAATGTATTTTTATTTATTATTTATTTAATATTTAATACTTTGTAGGCCATCCTTGGCTTTCGATACATGCATTAATTCGTTTAGGCATACTTTCAATTAAATTAATATAAACTTCAGATGGAATTCTCCTCCACTCTTCTTGTAAAGCCATTTCAAGTTCTCTAAGATTTTTTGGCCGTGTATGGCGTTTTCGTATTTTTTGTTCAAGTTCATTCCATAAATGTTCTATCGGATTGAGATCTGGAGATTGAGAAGGCCAATTCGATAGAACTTTAATATTTTTTTCAGCAATCCAATTCTCTACATCTTTAGCACGATGCATGGGTGCATTATCGTCTTGAAATGCATACGGCCTTCTGTGAAATTGAGAATGAACCAATGGCAGCAAATGGTCATTTAAAATTTGAATATAATCAAAACGGTTCATTTTTCCATCCACCTTAACCAATGGTCCTAGCCCTCTTCCTGAAAAACAGCCCCATACCATTATTCCACCACCCCCATGTTTAATTGAAGGAAACAAATTTTCAATATTGAAACGTGCACCAGCTTCTCTCCAAACTCGGCAAGGTCCGTTACTTTGATAAAGAGTAAATCTTGATTCATCACTCCATATGACCGTTTTCCATTTTTGAACTGACCAATCTTGATGATTAATACACCATTGTAATCGTTTCACACGTTGTGATTCGTTTAAAAAAGGTTTGGATGCTGCAATGCGTGAATGAAGTCCCAATTGATGAAGGTTTTTTCTAATAGTTTTTTCAGAAACAATTTTATTTTGAGAATCTTGAAATTTTTGTTGAGTCTCGGCAAGAGTAAGACGATTATTCTCCTTTAAAATATTTCGTAATTGTTGCTGATCATTATCATTAAGTGCACGTGGGCGACCACTCCGCTTTTCACTAGTCCCATTTTGAGAAATTGCATAATGGTTTATCATATCGCGAACTGTAGATTTCGGAATTTTAAGAACATTACTAATTGTCAAACGATTTTTTCCAGCTTTACACATTCCAATAACTTGACCACGCTCAAAAGGTGTGAGTTCTCTTTCTCTTGGCATGAGTAAACTGTGTGAAAAAAAGCATGTGAAAATCGTTAAAAAGGGTAAATATTTATGTTTTATAGTTTCATCGCATGTTTATATAATAAATGATCTGCAATCACATGCAACGTAGCTATAATCAAATACTTTCGTTTAAAAAAAAATTGGATAAATTTATTATGCACAATTTTGGAAAAATTACAAAAATCGAGGGCGAATACTTTTGAGAGGGGACTGTATATGGATATGTATGGGTATGATATGGATAGGATATAGATATACTGTTAACCCTCTATATATAAAAATAGGATTTAATATTATTTTTTCGCATATGCCCTCAATTTTTATATAATAACTTGCCGATCTTTGCCAAATTTTCTAATTCTCGATTTGTGTACCTATTGTAACACTTTTAAAAACCATATAGCATGCCGTATTTTTGCCTGCTTTTCAATTTTATTTAGTATACCAAAAGGGTTTAGAATATTGTTTTTGACTTTATATGGGGATGCGATATTTCGCAAGTGAAAAACAAACCCCATAAAAATATATAATTTTTTGTTTTTTTTTAATATATTTTATTTTATTATTATAGGACCCCGGATATCTCCAAAACAGGTTATAAGTCACACTTTCGGCAGATTGGCCAATTTTTCAGGGGCTCAAAAAATCGTTTTTTGTAAATATCTCGGCATCCAGTGGTCCAATTTTGATGAACATTTTTTTAAATTGTAGAGCTAAATGAGGGCTACAAAATAAAAAAAAGTTCATTAAAATTGAATTACTAGATGCTGAGATATTTACAAAAAACGATTTTTTGAGTTTCAGCAAAAAGGGGTGTTTTTGGCCAAAAGTCCATTATGACCTTTATATTAGATATCCGGGGTCCTATTATTATTATATATACCCAAAATTGAGGGTAACCTCTGCTGATCTTTTTATATGAAAAATTAAGAAACCCGCTCAAAAATTCAGGGCAAAATTTGATAATCAGAAAATAATTAGATCAGCAAGCGACATTGCAGCAGTAATAATCGTTTTATTTATGCGGACAGCCAGGGCAAATAGTAAGGAATTGCGCTGACCAAAATAACAACAATACGACATCAGTTGCGTACAATAACGACCCTATAAAAAAAGAAAATTCAGAATTTGTCCTAAAAAGTATGAAAAATGTCTGGAAAATTTCCGTGCATCCAGAAAACATTCGGAAACGGTCACGTTTTGGAATATTTTCCGGATGCTCGATTCTGGACAAATTCTGGACAAATTCTGGAGTGTCAAGAAAATGTCTGGAATTTGTGTGTCCGGAAAGTGTTCCAAAACGTGATCGTTTCCGAATGTTTTCTGGACGCACGGAAATTTTCTGGACATTTTTCCATACTTTTCAGGACAGATTCCGAATTTTCTTTTTTTATAGGGCGAAGGTAGATCAAACCCTCAAAAAATCAAAATTTTCTTCAAAATATATTATGAATTAATATCTTAATGTGTCAAAAAATATAATTGCGTAATATGGAAAGGTTGGGTTCGTCTGTAAGGTAGTAGATAGGGGAGCCAGTAGTTCTTTTTAAATATTAATTTTTGTATCAATGGTTTTTACACTATTTACTTTTATATTTTAATAAATTGAAATAACAAGCGAAGGTAGATCCAACCCTTAAACAATCAAAATTTTCTTTCAAATATATTATAGAATTAATATCTTAATGTATCAAAAAATATATTGCGCAATATGGAAAGGTTGGGTTCGTCTGTCTGGACCAGTAGTTCTTAAGTTCTATTTTTGTATCAGTGGTTTTTTAACTGTTTACATTTATATTTTAATAATTGACTTACAATTTTAGCAGCCAGGACACATAGTAAGGAATTGCTCTGACCGAAATAACAACAATACGACATCAGTTACATACAGTATAATAGCGAAGGTAGATCCAACCCTCAAACAATCAAAATTTTCTTCCAAATATAATGTGGAATTAATATCTTAATGTGTCAAAAAATATAATTCCGCAATATGGAAAGGTTGGGTTTGTCTGTCTGGGTACTAGTTTACTATAGTAGATAGGGAGCCAGTAGTTCTTTTTAAGTATTATTTTTAGTATTATTGGTTTTATACTGTTTACTTTTATATTTTAGTAAATTGACTTACAATTTTAGCTCAAAAAAAAAAAAATAATAATAATTATACAATAATCATGTTTTGAAATGAAAAAAAAAATGTTCTAGTAAAACAATAAATTTTAAAATATCTTGTTTTAAATCACATGCCATCCCTACGAAATTTAGTTGATTTTTTACATATTTAAGTGCTCTTATTTTTTTGATTTTAATCAGTAAAACTTTTTCTACCCATTCAATAAAACATAATTTTTTGAATTTGATACACACTTTTTATCAATACACAAAAATATTCTCTGAATTTTTTTTGACACCAGTAATAACAAAGTAATATGTATGAAAACGATCAAAACGAAGTAAGTATTTAGTACTATTGTTGTGATCAACTCTATTTTCTGGAGGAAGTTAACCCTATACTTGCTGCTTTCTAGTTCGTAATCCCTCATAAAGAACCTATGCATAAATACTTTTCATCAGCTCCTTTCATGACCTGCACGTACATTGAGTTTCTGCACCAGCTCAATTTAGAACAGAAACTAAAGAGTATTCAACAGAGATCAATCGATAGGTTTTACATGAAACTCCTGAATCCAATGAGTGAAGACCAAGAACTACCACAATTCGCTCAAGATCATGCAAAAAAGTTGTTGAAGGAAATGACTGTAAGTTATAATTTTCTCATTTATTTAGTATCCCTTTTGCGAAATGTAAATTAACTCAATATATCATGTCAGTCCAATGAAGTCATTGCATTTTGGGATTCAATGGCAGAACATGAAAAATGTTCCACCTCTAAGGAACAACAAGTTCGAAGTAATGTCTCATTTGATGGTTCTGATGTCACTAGAGTGCAATGAGATGAAGAATTATTGGATGTAACACCAACAAATAAGGTAATTGCACAACTTTAGCAGTGTTTTCCGCGCTTATTTGGTTAAAAAAAACTGACATATATTGCTTTTTTAATTCAGTCCAGGTTAGATCATGAATCATCATACTCGCCACCTTTATCTGAAATGAAAAAATTACTTTCGCTAACAATTGATTTGGATGACAACAATGAAGATGATGAAATTACAATTATAAGAAATGTTCCTCAATTATCTTTAAATAATAGTAATGACGGAAATGAGTTTGTTATAGAAGATTATAATGTATCAAAATTATTTCAACAGTATCAAAATGAATCATATAAACTTGCTAATTCTGATGGTTTATATGTGGAGACAAATGTCCACAAAATTTTATCTTTGACTTCAATTCTTATGCTTTCGCCAAATTCTCATTCTGAAATGATGATGAATATCTTTGGTTTAGACTTATTAGACAAAATAAGTGAAAATCTCAAACCAAATAAACAAGAATTTAATGCGGAATATGAAGCTAAATTTAGAAACATCATAAGACAGTCAAGTAATATCTCACGAGATAATGCTATTAACTCATTGCTAGGTCACTTAGCAGAATCTGAAAGTAGACTTAAAGAAAACCTAGGATTTGTTATTTTAGATGGCTTAAAGTCTTTACCTAATCACAAATTAAAAAGTAAACCAAGTGAGATTACTCTCATTACTAATTATCTAGATTACATCATGAAAGGACTATTTCACCTTCCTGATAAGTATATAGTGGAATGGCCTAACACAGGTCTTAAGGAAACTAAAGCTAGAAAAATAGAAGGCAGAGCGAGGCAGCCTGATTTCTTAGTATCAGCAATCCACCAATTAGAAACGAGTGGAACGTTATTTATAGGTGAAGTAACCTCTCCTGCAGAGAAAGAAAACGTGCATAAGAACTGTAATGATTTAATCCGAATTGGAGTTTTTATGAAAGAATGCATTGATTCGGCCTTAGACAAAGGTGCAGATATTAAAGTTCTAGGTTTTCAATGTATAGGTAAGATAAATTAAATAATTGTTGCTTTGCTCCTTCATGTAATCCTAAAATTTCATCATTGCTTTCTAGAATATACAATTGATTTTTATGCAATAAAACTTAATGCTCCAGGGCTATATATTATGCATCATATTGGTCAAGCATCGATTCCTACTTCAGTAAAGACATTGTCACATTTTGTTGATGAAATAGATACTTTTCTGACAGTACGTAGTCTTTTACAAGAATCATTTGGTAATTTTAATAATAGATTACGCAACCCAAAAGAACAAGCAAAAAAATTATCTTTTAAATGCGAGACCTTATCTACACCAAGTTTCAATCAACTTGTTAGTAAAACGCGTAATGTCAAAAGAAAATGTTCCTTCTGGTTCGGAAGGTTTTAGGAAATTACAATTGCTGTCACTGTATGTATCTTCATTTTATTTTTATATTTTTGGGAGGTGAATATGTGAATTTCATGAATTTTTATTAAAGAAATAATTTTTGAAAGTGGGTTTTTGGTGAATTTGGTGAATTTTCATTGGAAATAATTTTATTTTATGAAATCGGAAGAGGAAATTATTGTATTTTGATAAAATATTTTCAAATATAATAAAAAAATCAGTATATTTCTTAAAACTTAAAAGATTTTATACATTTACGAAGTTGTAAAATGCTATTAAATAGGTGGTGAATAAGTGGTGAATAGGTGGTGAATAGGTGGTATTGTCATCAAAATTTAGCCGAAAAAATCAAATTAAGATATTTTTTTATGCATTAAATAATTATTTGACGATGAATCTCAATTTTAATTTAATTTTATTTCTTTTTTTAAATCAATTTAACCTTAGTAAAAACTAATTACTAATTAAAAATATCATTTTGTAAAAATTAATAAGAAAACTAGATTTTACCCTATAAAAATCTGTATATGGAAATGTTATGTTTTATTCACATGTGACATACATTTTTATAAATTCCGTAACAAGTACAAATAAAATCTGTGCAACTTCACATGTCAAAACTATGTTTTAACTTGCGATACTGTGAAATTTTTGATTTATTTATATATTTACAAATTCATTACAAAATTAATTTGTATAAGTAGTTTATTGTTACATAGTCACAAAAAAAATCATCTTTTTTTATCTTAAAAGTTTTAAAAAAATTACATCCTCTGTTGAAAAAATACATATATTGTTACCATATCTCAAAGAACTGAAATTCATTATAACAATCTATAGAAATAGAAAAAAAATATATTACTATAAATTAATATGAAAAAAAAATTACCCAGAAAAATTAATTATAACGATCTATTGTTACAATAAATAAATAAGTAAATTATGTCAGTCTATTATTGAGCTTGATACAACCTAAAAAATATTATTATTATTAATAGGAAAAAAGGCAGCATCGCAGCATCGATCCGATCACCGATTTAAACCTAAATGGTGAAAGAATGTATTTGGGAAAAAAAATTTGGTTTGAAAAAAAAAGAAAAAAAAGCCAACCGGAAAAAAACCGAAAACAAAAAATAAAAATAAAAAAATTCAAAAAATAAAAACGAAAAAAAAAAATTTGGGGGAGGGACGAAGAGAAAAATCGGGTTGAAAAGAGAAAGAAAGAATAAAAAAAAATTCGAAAGAAAATGAAAAAAATAATGAAAGAAATCGGTTTAATGTAAAAAAATAAGTACCAAAAAAAAGGATTTGGTCATGTTTAGATTACCGTATATAAATAATTGTGTAATATGAAACACATGATCTGCCGCGCCTAATCTATTCAGTAATATACTAAAAAAATCCAAAAAAATCCCTGTGTAATCTAATACATGATTTGTCTACGCCTGAACTATTCCGTATTCATATAGTAGTTGCCAAATCCATGTTGATTATTAATATAAAATATTTTTAGTTTCCAGTTTTGCTAATATTATAATATTAATAGACAATTAAACTTATAAATTGTAAACTAATTTTTTTTATTTTATTTTTTTTAAACAATAGATCGAACTTTTGGCCTTTCTTTTGTTTAGTTTTTTTTTTTTACAATCAGAATTTTTTTCATTCAGTAATTTTTTTTTAATTTTTTTTTTAACGATAGATTATTTAGTAATTTTTTTTTATTTTTTTTTTAATAGATCGTTTAGTAACTTTTTTTTATTTTCTTAATAGATCGTTTAGTTATTTTTTTATAACAACAGACCGAATTTTTTTTTCATTAAATTTATTTTTTCCAACAATAGATCGGACTTTGCCCTTTCTTCATGTTCGGTAACTGACATTTACCAAGATTAATTAGTAATAGTTAGTTCCCAGTTAAAATAAAATTTACTTTTTTTTTGCTTCCTGGTAACTGGCATCATTCTAATACTATTAAGTAATAGTTCTATCGATTTTTTTACAATAGGCTTTGGTGATAAGAATATTTTATTAATTATTCAGAATTGATTTTGTGATGAGTCTGTAAACGTATAAACCATAAATTCTATAATACTGCAACATTTGTTTAATATTATAATATTTGTATTAAGTTATTTATTGTAATACTAAATCATTTTAATTTAATCATATTGTAAATATATATCATTCAAATATAGATACTTTATTTTATTTTATTTTATTTTATGTGAAGTCGGAAAGAATATCAAAGAGGATTCAAATATAGATACTTTGCTGAAACCTCTGATTTAGCAATCTTAACGATACTACCATGTGACTATCACGTGACCATATGGTAGACTCCAAGTGTCATCTTTTTTGTTTTGATCGTCTAGTTTTTATATTGCTACTTTATATTGGCTAGTTTTTATTGTAAATTTTAATTTGTTAACATTGTTAACATTCAATTTATCTAATGAAATTCTTATATATTTTTATTTTAATTTTTTATTTTGTATTTATAATCGCAAATCTTAATATTAAATTACAAATCTTAATTTTTATCGCAAATCTTTTAAATACAAATCTTAATTTTTATCTATCGAAAATTTTGATACTTATAGTTTTATATTACCTAATATTTAAATATTAATAATGTATATGAGCACATATAAAAATATAAAAAAAATTTTTCCCCACGTGATATTAAATTAATAATTACCGCAGCTTCAGCTGCGGTACCTATGCTGACAATCAAAACACGTATTTATCAATGACACGACTAATTTCAGCTTGAACTGAGTTTGTAATGGGGCTGAACTATTGATACATGTGATATCACGTATTTTGTTTACCACTGGTGTCACACCCTCCCGCTTATTTTGATATTTTTAACGAGCACGTCAAAACTATTGAATCACGTGATAATAACATCAGTCCAATTTTGTATATATATATCATAGTATTTTTTTTTTCTCTTTCTAAATAAAATATTGTTTTTTCAATTATTTTTCGCGTCTTCACTTAAATGAACAGGAAATAGTCGAAACAAAATAAAATAATATTTCTTTTCTTTTATTTCAGCGACTTAATTTTTCTTGGGTGAGGAATACCACCTATTATTTGTCGAGTCATCGCTGTCTTCGCTTAGGTTTTTTGGGTGAGGAATACCTATTATTTGTCGCGTCTTCACTTAGAAATGAACAGGAAATAGTCGAAACAAAATAAAATATTATTTCTTTTTTTTTATTTCAGCGACTTAATTTTTTCTTGGGTGAGGAATACCACCTATTATTTATCGAATCTTCGCTTAGTTTTTTTGGGTGAGGGACCTATTATTTGTCGCGTCTTCACTTAGAAATGAACAGGAAATAATCGAACTCTTTTGGGAGCATGAACTGGTTGCTTACAACACCCACGACCTTCGTTTTCTAATGGTAACGCCCTCGTGTGTGCAACCCTTCTCCATTTGGCGAAGCTGGTTGGTAACGCTTTTTCTTTGGGAGTATAAAACTGATTGTTTACAACACCCACGACCTTCGTTTTCTAATGGTAACGCCCTCGTGTGTGCAACCCTTCTCTATTTGGCGAAGCTGGTTGGTAACGCTTTTTCTTTGGGAGTATAAAACTGATTGTTTACAACACCCACGACCTTCGTTTTCTAATGGTAACGCCCTCGTGTGTGCAACCCTTCTCTATTTGGCGAAGCTGGTTGGTAACGCTTTTTCTTTGGGAGTATAAAACTGATTGTTTACAACACCCACGACCTTCGTTTTCTAATGGTAACGTCCTCGTGTGTGCAACCCTTCTCCATTTGGAGAAGCTGGTTGGTAACTCCAGGCCTCCAACTTTCGCCGAATTAGTTTCTATTTTCTGCTTACTAACGATTATTTATTATTTATATTAAGATACTAGGACTTTAGATTCTCTCTAACATCTACAAAATTCCGTCTATGAAAAATGTTTCTGATTGACCCATCAGGCTTGATTTTGGCCGATATGGTAAGTAAAATATATGACATGCTTTCAAGGGAGGGAGTACTACGGATCCTAGGCGAGTCCTGCGTCATATTATTTCACAATGATTCCGAAAAATTCTATGATGTTTTATGTTATACATTATCGGAATAATTACGGTCCATCATCAATGATTGGAATTTAAATCGGATGATTTTTATTTGCTTTATATAGTTGCGTTTTAAAGAAATTCACATAGTTACGTTTAAACATTTCAAATTTAAAATAAACTAGCAACAAAAAAAAAATCCGTCCACTCCAGCATAATAAAATATGTTTAGTTTAAATTTCTGTTAATATTGATACGTATTTTTGTCAACATTACCAATATTGAGTTAGCGTTTCTCACGCGAACTTTTGTTAAAAGGTTTAATTAATAATTGTGTAATTAAATTACTTGAAGACATATTTGTTCATTCAGTCAGTTAGTCAATTACAGCCTAATGTTTCTCTCACAACGGAACGGTTGGCTTTATAGTGTTTCTGGCATTTTAAAAAATTATTAGATATGCCAGATTTGGTGTTAACAGAAAAGAAAAGTTGTAAGACATTTCATCAGAAGTTATTAAGATTCTTTTTCATCAGAAGTTAAGCTAAAAATGATCATCAATTATACCGAAACCCTATTTCACCGAATTCCATTTCGTCAAAGCCATTTATCGAATAAATATTTCGCCAAATGGACATTTGCCGAATGGACATTTCGCCGAAATATTATTTATTCGATTTTGTTATTTTATTGTTTTTATTAAATATATAAAGAAATCTTTTCTAGGAAAATTTTGAATTAGCCAATTTTTATTAAATTTGTCTTGTTGTTTTATAATATTATATTAATTGCCGATTCTCCACTCAGCGATGCGAAATGATCGGCATTCTATAATTAATCTCGTCGCACATTTTTATATTAAATACTATTGCTTCTGAATGGTGTTTGCACAAGTTTGAAAAAGTTTTGTTGTAATATAAATGCCCTAAAAATACATTAAAAAAAGGTGTTAATT